TGTTCGTGAGCCCTAGCCCTGTTAAGGGCCGGCGGACTTGGGGCTGCTGTTTAACTGTGTGTATTAGCTCGCATGAGAGAGGAGAGAGGGAGAAGGAGGAGAGGCCCCATTTCTCGAGGGAACACGAGGACTCCGCACTATCATCCAAAGCCTCTCAGCTCATACCCTTCAAGTTGTCCCAGCTGCGTCCTACGTAACGGCAACTTTTCGACTATCTACTTCTACGCACGAACACCCTCCCTGGTTCTTTACGCCAGTGAAGAACCTCTAGTGCGTCGAAAATACGAAAAACCGAAACACAACGACAAACCAAAAGTAAAGGGGAAACCCGGCCACCGGATCAAAACCCCTCAGAAATTCAACGCCTCACGCCGATCATATCACGAAAGATTCCAACGGCTCAAACAAAATCCAATAGCCGTCCATATCACCAATGATTCCAACGGCCGTACNCCCGAAAAACCGAAACACAACGACAAACCAAAAGTAAAGGGGGAAACCCGGCCACCGGATCAAAACCCCTCAGAAATTCAACGCCTCACGCCGATCATATCACGAAAGATTCCAACGGCTCAAACAAAATCCAATAGCCGTCCATATCACCAATGATTCCAACGGCCGTACTGCAAGAAGACAAAGATAAAACCAATCCAGACGCTCGGATTACAAATTCTAGGCAACGCTCTACTACCTTGAGCAACGCCTCTGACATATCCTTCCGACATGATGGAACGAACTCCTTGCTGTGCAGCACCAACTGATTCTTCAGGTGTCACACACATACAGGCAACGCCCTCCCTGTCTATCTNAGAAGACAAAGATAAAACCAATCCAGACGCTCGGATTACAAATTCTAGGCAACGCTCTACTACCTTGAGCAACGCCTCTGACATATCCTTCCGACATGATGGAACGAACTCCTTGCTGTGCAGCACCAACTGATTCTTGAGGTGTCACACACACATACAGGCAACGCCCTCCCTGTCTATCTACATTCCACACAAAAACTGTTCGTGATAGTTGCTGCTGCTGTGTGTCGACAGAGTGACGTAGAACAACTTGATTGGACAGTTTG